TGAAGATTTACAAATAAATATGAAGATAAATAAATGAAAAACTAACAGTTTAATCACAATAAAGAAACGAAAAGGGAAAAAAAGAGAACCATTCATCTGTTCCTGTTCCAGAATCATTTATCGATGTTAATGGAGTGGCCACATGCACATATCACAACGAGAGATTAAATAATTCAAAAATACACGGAAAGAATTGCCTGAAAAAGCCAAAACATACTTCATTGATAATTATATAATAAACAGAATATTACATGGCCGCTTGGAGATAGGAATTTTATCTTCTCGTGTTGAAAATCTCTAAATCGTTCGCTACGCTCACTCGTGAGAGATTTTTTAATTTCAACAGCTCGAAGATAAAATTCGTATCTCCGCGCGCCCATGTAATATCCTCTATTTATTTCATTATGTTGCTTATATTTTTTGCTTTCTACCAATCAAACCAATCTTCACCCGCCTCCTCGGCTTATAGCATTCATTATAACTTTTTATAAGGATTTGTTATATTATTGGTTTTACAAGACCTTCTTGAAAATCACTATAGTGAAGAAGCATCCTGTTTAAATATTACTGTACATACATAAATAAATTTGTCAATATGGAAAGCCAGCCAACACTTTTTCCCATACAAATCCTTGTTCGGAGCGAAAACTTCGCCTTCATACTAATATTAAAATGCTCTCTTCATTTCTGATACTCATTTTGACACCTGAACTGCTCGTTAAGGGAGGTAGGGTCACGTGACCGGTTAATGATTGGCCCAATCATTTCTGAGGGTGGCCTTTTCCATTCACCACGCAATATTCGAGAAAAATGGAATTTATGCCGCGGCTGGGAATGTGGGGAAGAAAAAGGAGGACAACGGGGAATGTTCCTAAAGAAAAACGTTTTGGATTTAGGCGCTGGAAAGTGGGATTTGTAAAAATATTAAGTGTAAATTTGCTACAACTACGTTTAACTCTCAATTCGCATGCCGTTGTTTTAGGTTCTATATAATAGTAATAAAGAGAAAATTATTCTTGCTTGTGGCGTTATTTCCGTAAAAGTGGCTGTTGACTGGCGAAAACTCACCTAAGTTCGTTTGTCGTTTTCGACTGCGACTATAGATAAATAAAATCAGTACTGCAGGTAACCTAAGGCATGGAAACCATCATGCTTTTGACCTATTATCGCAAATTACGTGATTGTATGCGAAAGTCGTGTGAAATACCTAGATAGCAAATTTAGAATAACGGGGATTCCCCGTCATGTTACTTCCACGTGGTCTTTTCAGGATCAACAGCTATATGTTTCCTGTTCAACGACTCAATTTCAGTTTCCCAGTACAAGTTTTACTAGTTAAAATAAATATTTGCTTTTTAACCCCAAAAGACATAGAGGATATTACACGGTGGCGCGAAGATATGAACGATTTATCTTCGAGTGGTGAAAATATTGCACGTGTGCTAGCCTGCAGAGCAGGCGTTCTTGTTCTTTTGATGGATTTGAGAGGAAGAATCGGTGTTTTGGGGTTCCTGTCTCAACCAAAGTTCCCCCAAAACCCCGGTTTTTCCCCCAAACCAAGAACGCCTGCTTTGCAGGCTACACGTGTGCGTGAACGAGTGATGATATTTTTTAACACGAGAAGATAAACTTCATATCTTTAAGCCTATTATATAGACAAATTCACAAAACTTCTTGAAAACATTGGAAAAGACGTCATCGATATCTTCACTAGGGAGGATATGGAAAATATGTCACGGAGTTCCCGGATGTAGTTCGTATATTAAAAAATAAGATTGGCGTATTTCCCAGTAAAACAATTATGGTATTTAATAAACCTATAGCTATGCCAAGAACGTCAGGGTAGATTTGTTTGCTGGGCGAAAGGTCTTCTTGCTAACTAAATAGACAAAATTTATCGATCAGTGCTTCTGGCTCCGAGCCGGGGCCGCCTTGAAAACCTCTAGATAAGTAATCTACGTCTCATCTATAGGGAATTCACCTTTATTTGGTGATTAGGAAAGTGAAAGGAGTGGTAGCAGGCAACATTTCCTAATGCATACTCACTATCACGTAGCGGATGAGATCCGCTCCTGCCCCTCATCAAGATAAAGAGAAGAGATGGTACGTAAAACGTAAAAGAACCAATAATATAAATAATATAAACAGTAATCGATTCTAACTGGTCGAGAGGAGTACAATTAATCGTTAATTATACTCCGTAGGAGTACCTATTAAGTTGCTATGGATATCTGTATTCAGTTGCAGATCCAGGATTTTTCAAAGGGGGGTTCCGTTTCTTAAACTGTGTATAATTCTCTTTTGTTTTGTCGATGTTTGACAAAATATTTTGGCTCTAATCACCTGATTTGCTATCTAG